TCTTGTCTTTCTCCAGCAAGAGCACGTACCCTATGGTAAAAATCTCTAAAGAAAGAAAAAAAAATACATTTAGATAAACTACAGACTAGAAATTATTTATTATTTATCTGATAGAAGGACTTTAGCCAGGAGGCTTGAAAAACTCTCCAGGTGTGGGCACATGTGACCAAAATCTGGACAGGATGGACAGGATGGAGAAATGAAGGGGCTGCTGTGTGACCGTGTCCTATTGGGGAATGCTTTCTCTCTGTGTCTGATTCTCTCAGGCAAATGCATGCAACCTCTGGCAATTATTAACGTAAAAAAATAAAATTAAGGAGCCAGCAGATAGTGTAATAGTTACATCGCTGGACTCCCACACAGTCAACCGTTGTTTGAGTCCCAGAGCCGGTGGCTCAAACCTCATGCTAGGCACTTGTGTGTGTGTGCCCTAAATCCCTAGAGGAGAATGGAGGAGAGGGGATTGTGGTGTGGCCATCCCCCGGGGGGATGATTTCTTGCTTTCTGTCTGTCTGTCTGTCTCTCTCTCTCTTGTCTCTCCAGCAAGCACACATGCCCTAAAGCAAAATTCTCTCTTAAAAATTTTTAAAAAGAAAAAGACTTCTATGCCAGCTATGGTGGCAGGGTGGTAAGGAATTCTTAGGTGGGGATCCCAGGTTGACCTACACATGCCAGGTGTGCCTGTGGGTGCCCATGGTCCTGGGTTGCTGGAAGGTTGGGGAGGATTGCATCATGAGAGTCTGTCAAAGGTAACCCACCCCACCTCTCTCTCTCATGAAAAAAAGAAAGAAACTTAAAAAAAAAATGTCAACATCAAGTGTTGGCAAAGACATGGAACAACCAGAACTCTCTTACATTGTTTATGGAATATAAAATGGTACAACCATTTTGAAGAAAGAGCTGGCCATTTCTTATAAAACTAAACATATACCTATACAAAGATCCAACAATTCTACTCCTAGATATTAACCCTCTCCCTGCCAAAAACATTACAAAAAACAAAAATATACATCTACAGAAAGATACAAGAATGTTGGCAGCAATTTATTCATAACAGGGGGGAAAAAAAAACTAGAAACAACTGAAAAACCAAATAATAAAACTCTGGTATATTTATGTAAAAATGGGTAAAATTAGCAAGGTATCAGAATCTTGAGGAAGGAAGACATCTCTCCAAGTGATTCTGCTAAATGCCTGAGAAAGACATTGATGTTTCAAATAGCCAACATGGAAATGAGCTTTGAACCTCATTTATGCGAAAGTTCTTTCCGACCCACAGAACAGCTGGCCACCAGGGAGCATTTCTAATGTCAGCCTGTGCTGGAGTGTCCAGAGTAGGCCGGCAGGCACTGAAGAGGGCTGCATGGCTGTTCTCCACATGAACTACAGACTACTAACACCGAAGGACTCAACATGTGTGGTTAGAAGGGAGAATTCACTCCATTTATCATAATTCACTGTCAGATAATCAAGAACTGACTGTAGCTATGTATCAGTTTTGGGATCAACTATGTAATTTGTTAGAAAAACCACTCACAATGAACAAAATTCCTAATACAATATATTGTTAAAGCCTTAACATTTTTTCAAGACCTACTGCGGCCAGCAGGTGGCGTGGTGGTTGGGGTGCTGCTAGACTCCCACATGGGCAACAGTGGTTCAAGTCCCAGACCTGGCAGCTTGCTTTCTTGCTCTCCCTTTCTCTCTCTCTCTCTCTGGCCAAATAAAAATAATAATAACAAATGAAATAAATAATTTTTTTTAAAAAGAGATCATCTATTGTAAAATGCCATATAATTTTAAACTGGCTAATAATAAACGTTCACAGACAAAACAGTATCACCTAAGTAAGTACTTAAAATATGATAAGTACTTAGGGAGGGAAAACACATTTTATGGATCCAGACTGAACTCACAGTTGTTTTTTCTTTTATTGCCAGAGCGCACATGAACTCACCCCAGAGAGCGAGCGAGCGAGAGGAGAAAATGAGAAAGCATCCCTCCATTTCTCTTTCCCACGGGATTCTGGGTTTGCACTCAGGCCCAGCGTGTTCTTTCAAGCCACTGGGGCGACAATTCAAACCACACTCCGTCATGTGGAAACTGGCTCCCAAAGCACAGCACTTCAGGGCTGGCCTTGAACTTAGTTGTATTTGTGAAAGGTATTTGTATTTTTTCAAATACTTGGAAATTTCCCACTTTCATAAGCAAAACTTAAGATTTTACATGCCAGGATGAGAAACTGTTGAAGCTTGTTACTATATAAAATTTAAACATGTCCTACCTAATTTAAGGGACAGAAATAATGAACACAGACCCACTTAATTTTTAACTATAACTTAAAAGAATATATGGGCATGGCGGTGCCCGTTCTATGGGAAAAATTACTGGAGGCTGGAGGGGTGCATCCTTGAGTCCATCTCGCTCGCTCTCTCTCTCGCACTCTCTCTCTCTGTCTTTCTCAACATGCACAATTTGGGGGCCTGCAGGTGATACAGTGGTTGAGGCGCTGGACTCCACATGGCAGACTGCAGTTTGAGTCGTGGACCCCATGGCTTATGTTCTCACTTTCCCTCCCTCTCTCTCTCTCTCTGTCTCTCTATCAAATTAAAATAATAATAATGAATAAAATTAAATAATTAATTAATTTTTTAAAAAAAGAAAAGAAAATAGTCTTAGAAGCTGAGTTGCTCTGGTGTGCCCCCACCTACCCTGCCCCTGCCTTGATCAAATACAAATTGCACAGTCAACTAACAGACATAGCCAGCCAGCCAAGAATACAGCTCACAGCCTAAGGATCCCACCAGCTGGGACTGTTAGTGTACTGTCGGCAGTTCCTACTATGAAGAGGACATCCTTTTACCCCCAGCTGTAAAACTGTACTACACAGGCTTTTTCAAATGACCACTGATGCCTTCCTGCTCCCAGAAGATCCAATAATCTCCTTCCTCATGTTTGAGAATCTTGATGGAGACAACAAAATCAAGTTTTAATGACCAAGCCCAGGAACGTAACACCTTTGGCTGTTTCCAGATGAAAGGAGTCACAGGGGAAGAGACGTGCTCACGTGGCATGCTGAGCAGATGCCCTGCGGGAACTGCTGGTCTGAGTGAGGGCCTGCCAGCTGCAGAGCATGCTGTGCTTGCTCCCCAGCAACCAGCAGTGTGGAAACAGATGGTGGCAACTGTCTCCAGGGCTGTGTGTGGACTGCCCCACAGGAAGCCCCCGCTCGGATCGCCCGCTTGCTGTCTACAGGGCTCAGCTGCTGAAGAAAGCAGGCCAGCAGCAGAGACCCCCCCACACACACACACCAGGACTGCCAGCAGCAACAGCGGGCCCTCATTCAGAGACAGGGGAAAAGGAGTTTGACAATACGAAGTATTCAACTGTTAGCAGTTACACATCTGTTTTGAATATCAAAGGCCCTTATTTGTACTGTCAATACCATGTACACACAGATTGTTGGACATTCATATGGCAGGTTTATCTCTTTGTCCCTGAAGCTACAATGGCTCCAAAATGCTAAAATTGGGGAAGCAGTGATTTGAACAGAATTATGTTTTAATTTAAAAGAAGATGAGGGCCAGCAGTGGCATGATGGTTGGAGTGCTGAACTCCCACATGGTTGACCATGGTTCAAATCCCAGACCTGGTGGCTTGCCTTCTCACTCTCTCTCACTCTCTGTCTCTCTCTGGTCAAACCAAAGAATAATAATAAATTAAATTAAATTAAATAATTCTTTAAAATAAAAAAATAAAAGAAGATGAGCATTAAGTTGATCATTAAATTGTTCTGATTTTCAAGGAGTATATTTCACCATGCTTCACTCACATCAAATATTGTAACTCTCTGAGTTGTTTTCTTGAAGGTTCAACTCTGACATTTATATTATTTGACTATTTTGGGGGTGACTGTTGTAGGAGGACTAAGAAATTCTGGAAAATTAGATTAAATCATGAGAGACAATTTCATACAATTTTCCTACGTAAGTCATTGTCACTAGTGATAAAAGTAAAAATAAAATTGAGTCATTAGTTCTTTTGTTATTTTCAGGTACAAATACAAGTTCTGCTCCATTAATTCCACCTACTTCTTCACAACTAAGAGACCTTGCCAAAATAGTGAGTTAAATAGAACACTGTGGTTATAGTTGTATTTTTCTACTGATGTATAGATAATATTTCCCAACATCAACTATTACAAATAAAAGTATATTAATAAAAAGTGAAACTGTGAAGAAGTATTGTTTTTAATTTACACAATACATCTTAGTCCAGTACAGACATCAATAGCATTTTCTTCTTTTCAGTTTATTTATTTATTTCTTCCAGGAGAGGGGGATAAAGAGAGACAAAGTTCTCAACGTGTGACACCCAATGTGCCCAGGGAGGTTGTGGGACACGAACCCAGAACCTTTCCTATACGGGTCCAGTTGCATTACCACTGCACTACCACCTGTCTCTCAATAGCATTCCTCACACTGGACCCTAATATATCTACAGCCTGCTAGAACTAACCAGTTAAAGTACTATTTCCCTCTAATACCTCAGGATACATAAAAAATTTGAACATGTCTATCTCTTGCGAATAATTTTTTAACAGTTTTAAACTCAAATTTAAAAGCTCTTGAATGATCATTATTACTGTCCAACAGCAAAGATTCATTCAAGCAAGAAAATAAAATGATGCAAAGACAAATAAAAGATATTCTGGGTATGATTACTGTCTACTGTGTTAGTGGATACTCATATTCATTAGAAAGAAAACAATCACCACCCTGTCATCTAGGTTTTCTTCTCACATAAACGCACATGCGCACATAAGCACAAAGCATTAAGTACAGTGATGAATTGTAAAACAAAGAGATTGTAGCTTATTTTATAAAAACATTAATAGAGAAATGTGCAGTCAAACAGACTTTGCTAAAGTCAAACTGAAAACGTGGTGCTGAAACCACCCCCTCGGCAGGGCGGGCACTGTCGCCGGCTGGAGCGCCTACCTTATAGGCCTGCATGAGCACGTGGATGACACCAGGGGCGCCGTGGCACCAGTGGACCAGCCGATCCGTCTCGTTGCTTAAAGATGATGGGTAATTTCCAGATCGGAATTTTTTGTGGCGCACATAATCGATACTAGGTTTCACCATTTCTGTCAAGGTTTCATGGTCCACTTTAGCTGCTGGCTTTAAACAAACAAAAAGAAGATTATTTCATTTTTTCTGAAGTTAGTTGTTTGAAACCACTGTATTATGGCTAATATAATAAAGCATCAGTACTGAGGCGCATATGAAAAGAGAACAAATTCATGATGTGGCTATTTCAAATTAGGCAGACCTTGGTTTCTTTCTTTTTTTTTGGAGATGTTTTTGCTATAGGGCGCATGCACTCACCAGAAAGACAGAGACACAAAGCGAGAAATCACCTCCCGGGGGAATGGCCATGCCGCAATCCCTTCTCTTCCATTCTCCTCTCCGGATCTTGGGCACACATGCATGTGTGTTTAGCATTGAGTTTAAGCAACCGGGTCTGGGACTTGAATTGCGGTCGACTATATGGGAGTCCAGTGACATAGCCATTACACCAACTGCTGACCCCAGACCTTGGTTTCTTTTTAAAAATTATTTATTAGTTTGCTATGGGGACAAACACTTGTCAGACAGAGACGGAAAGAGT